ATCGCCATGTTAATCGTGGCCGATGAAAGCAACGGGTCGCGGCCGGGAAAATAACGATCCCTAGTTCGTTGTACGGTCATGACAGGCTGTTATCGCTATTCCCTCACGATTTGGGATCGATGCTGGGTCCGAAGATAATTTTAACAACGAACGAAATCGAGAGGGTGGATTTAGAACCTTTGAACGCTTTGAAGAGTGATCGCTCTAATTATGTTGTGACTTTTGACAGTGATCATTTAGTATACATAACCGATTTTAAATCTTTCGTTAAAAAGTTATTATCACTCTGGTCATTTGAATTTTCGATTCTTTTTTATTTTTTATTTTTATATTTTTATTTTCATTTTTGTGGTATACCTGCTAAAAGTTTTGCAATATTTTCTACTATTCTTTTCGAGATTTTTCGATTTTCAATTTACACGTCCTTTCGACCAATCATGGTGGATTTAGCTTAAATATGTTGTATAATTTTTGGAAAATTTATTAAATATAATAATAAAGGAATATTTTTAAACATTTCAGCAGATAATGAAGAGATATTCGAAATTTTTTGAGCCTCGTTGAATTGAAGAGAATGGTAGATTTTAATACTGAAAATGGAAAATATTGAGATTCGCAATTACGAAGATTATTATAATTATACCTCCTCGTGGATCTGATAAGGTATTAAAAATTTCGATATTAAAAATTTAATACGGTATTAAAATTCTTGCATGGACGTGTATGTAGTATAATCTACTTTAAATTTCTTTATTTTCATTCCCGGGAAAGCTGACTCTATCGTGCCGCACTGTAAAAATTTTTCCGAATTTTATTTCCACGAGCAATCGATTAATTACGATTCTGATTACCACCGTTTTGAAAAAGCTTCGATTAAAATTGCAATCTCCACCCTCGCGATCGACGCAACGAAAAATCATCGGGATCACGGAATATTCGATTTTTCCTCGCTGCAGGGACATTTCCATTGCTCTCGGAATAATTGCGACATAAATTTTCCAATGAACAATTATAATTACCGGACGAATTCGGGTCCACGGGACCATTTCGAATTTAATCTCGCCGCGAGTTTCGTTCGCGAAGACAGTAATCCCTGCCGGTATTCGGCTATAACGGGAATGTTCAATACGATATATTAAACCCGAGGAATTTTCGAAGTGAAACTTCTCCGGCAACGGAACAAGTTCATCCGGCTCAATTTACTTTCTCATCTGCTTTTCGACTGCGCCGACTTCGTCTCCTCGTTCTCCGGCCTCCCGATATGAAGGAAACAATTGAAATATCGTTGTGAAATATTCGCAGCTGGCCTCTTATTACAGAAATTCATCGCCAACTCTGCAGAAATTCTGCAGAAATTTGAACAACAACATAGGAGTAGTTTATGAAACAAACACTCGAGATAAAAATTTAAAAATGGAATTAAAATTGTCCAGTTGGAAATTAAAGAGGCTACTGAATTTGCAATATATTATTTAAATAATTTTAGATACCGAATTTAAATTACTAGGATAATAAATAAGCGACAAATTACGTACGAGAAATTTATACGAAGAAAATATTATTCTCGTGTAATATAAATATATTACTAAATATAATATTTAATTAATATAAACTTATGTAATATTAACCCTTTGCACTCGAGAGGTAAGCTTCAGTCGCCATTTTATAAAATTTGGAAGATCGATATTAACGAATATATCAAATTTAATGTAATGTAACAGTGTACAGGGTAACGAAATCAAATAATTTTACAATTCTGTTATAGAATTCTTTATTTACTGCTCGAAAATGTATTGTCAATTTTTCAATGAAAAATCTTTGAATTTCTACTCTTCTCTAGCCAAACAATCGTTGAGTGCAAAGGCTTAATAAAGGAAGAAAATTATAAATAAAAATGAAAATGGAAGAAGGTATATGATACCAGAAATTAATAGAGCTAAAGGATTTATTGAATTTATTAAAAATAATAATATATAATAATACAAATTTTGTGACCAAATGCAAATTTCTGCAACTAATTCATTTTTCTATTAGAGAAGACATATACGAGATCGATATAAAAATTATACAACCTGGAAATTATTCAATCTAAACTTATATACAGCTATGAAACGTCGCTTTTTCATAAGACCATTCGATTGGCAGTGAAATATTACTGAACGAGGTTACGTGCTCTGCGACAGTCACGTCGATGCACCGAGTTTAATCTCAAGTTTGGACAAAGTTTCAATAAAATTTTGACAATACTCGCATCTATCAGAATTCAAATCTCGACCACTTTTATTTTCTTCCAAACTGAAGTCGTATTCCACAGAGAAAATATTTCAAACACTGTACATAATCGACTATACATATATATACTCAATAACAATTAAATTGTTAAAAGTTGTGAATATTAATTTCACCAAAAATTAATAAGAAATCTAAACTCAACCATTTTGAGTATACTAGTTTCATAGTTTTAACCTCTGCACTCCGTTGTCCCCTCTCAGGGGACATCGTAATTCTAGCATATCACTCGGATGTCCCCTCTGAGGGGATATTAAAGTTTATTAGTGATTACTGGGAATCAGTTTATTCCAGCACATGTTTTTAAGAAATGTATATTTCCCTGACGTTTTCTCTTGAAATGGCACAAGAAATCAAATTAAAATATAGCAAAATTACTGAGATATATAAAAATGTCAGCCGGTTTTACGTCAGAAGAGAACACGAGAATTGTGCTTATGATGGATAATAGATTAAATAATAAAGTACATACTCCCGATGTGGGAGAAAGGAAATGGGACTGTATTATTTGTTCTGACAGGAAAACACCTGGTGGAAGACGTGAAACTACTTATTATTGTCAAAGTGCATAAATCAGCCTGCAATGCACATTGGAGTGTGCCTCAAAGTTTATCATACTGTAGAAAATTGTAAAAAATAAAATATTTTCTTCTTTTTTTGGCAAATATATATTTCTCGATGTCTGCCAATTCATATATGACCAATATTATTATAATATGTTACTTGGTTCCAAAACTATACTATATAATATGAAGGTGCATACATGCACGAGTAGCTGGTAGCTTACATCCAGAATGGTTCGGAGTGCAAAGTGTTAATATTAAGAGAAACGAAAGGTGTTGGAAAGGCACCCATAAAGCGATTTTTCCCAGAAAATGGAAGAAATTAATTTAATAAAATATCGAAATAATTTCTGAACAAGCCTCGTATACGCTTCTCGAAAGTCGTCACTACAATCGCTAATTAAAACAAAGAATTATAATGGACGAGAAATATGGAAATGAAAACCACCCCTATACCTCGCAACACCGTCATCGGCAACACCTGCGAAAATTCCGCAATCCAATGCTAGCCCGAACAAAGAACTCGGCTAATTTTCTCCGGCTCCGTCAAAGAATCTCGCTCGCCCTTTGTTCCCCAATGAATCTGCGCGGTACGTCGAAGACAGGGGTCGAGTGGCCGCAAACCGCCACCATGACCAGACCTAACCCCCGAGCCTTGTTCCAGTCCGCGTGCCGCTCTAGGACAGCTTTAAAATAATTTCATACCTCGCGCAGCCCTCAGCCGACTCTGCCTCCGCGTAACGGCGTTCGATGATGAACCGATGCGAAGAAAAGGGTGCAGAAGCCTCGTCGGGATCGTTCACTAGTGGTAGTAGATCTTGCCCTTGCAATTGCACGTGGCCCCACACATCTGGCGCCGCTTGCGGCCCTCGGCCGTGTTCGTGTTGCAGACCCAGGTACGAAACGTCCTCACCAGCTCGGCGCAGTTCCCCCAGGAATCGGTATAGTAGCAGGCGTTCGTGCACAGCTTGTTGCGCCAACAGTGGTTCTTGCACATGCTGCACGGCTTGCCTGCCACGTACGGCTTACTAAGGAGATTGTCATCGCTGATGTCCCTGTGAAAAAGAGAGAGAGGCTGATCAGAGCGTTGTAGATGAAGATGGCGGAGGAGATGTGGAAGATTCAGGGATGTCAAAGTAGGAGGATAGTGTAGGAGTGTGTCTGACGATGAGAAAAAGGAAAGCGAATATATTGTGGTATTGCGAGCTGGGAAGGACTCTAGCAAAGGAAATGGGTGGGGTCCTAGGACCTTACGTCTCAGGTTAAGTGGAGGACTGCTTTATATCCTTATTGCCAGGGTCCCGTGATTTGTGTACACTCGTCGTCACCTAGTCACCACTTGGGATATACCTTAGCAAGGACCAATATATCATCCTTCAGACGATAGGCATAAGGATCTAAATTATTTAAACATTCATCACCACAGAAGAACGTATCCGTCGACGAGGAAAAGGAAAGCGACGATATTAGTGGTACTGTGAGCTGGGAAGGACTCTAGCAAAGGAAATGGGTGGGGTCCTAGGACCTTACGTCCAAGGTTACGTGAAGGATTGCTCTATATGCTTATTTTGCCTTAGCAAGGACCAATATGTCATCCTTAAAACGGTAGGCATAAGGACCCGAATTATTTTACCATAATACCACCACCACAAGACGTCGGAGCTAATGCACATTCCCGATATTATTCACAACCAACAGGAAGACACACACCCACCACTTACATTTTGCACCAACTAATCACTAGATACACGAAACTTATGAAACCACCGAGACAGGAGTCACGGGAGGAGTTCTCTTAAAAATCTTACGAAAACAGGACAAGCATCATGACCAGACTATCAGTCAAGACCCACGATGATAAACTCAGCGTGAGAGACAATAACACATCAGAACCCTTTAACTCAACCCTAACCTGGTCTAGCTCTATTAACCCTTGCCCAATTTTCACGAGTCTGACACGTGATGAAAATTTTAGGCCAAACTTGAATATCACGAGTCAGGCTCGTTGTTCAATTTCTACCAGACTATCAGTCAAGACCCACGATGATAAACTCAGCGTGAGAGACAATAACACATCAGAACTCTTTAACTCAACCCTAACCTGGTCTAGCTCTATTAACCCTTGCCCAATTTTCACGAGTCTGACTCGTGATGAAAATTTTAGGCCAAACTTGAATATCACGAGTCAGGCTCGTTGTTCAATTTTATGCCAAACGTGGATGTCAAGAATCTGACTCGTGGTCTTAATCTCGGGCCAAGTATGAATATCTCGTATAGACTTGCGACTATTCTGCACTCAGTTATAAGATATCTGTCTTAATTTGTACCAATCGCACACGACTTACGTCACATCAACAAACCATGGGCGTGACACGTGGTGTTTACATTTGGCCCAGTCGACGTACCACGTGCCAGGCCCGTGATAGTCAGTTTTGACCCGATCCATGTACCACGGGCCAGACTCGTGATAATCAGTTTTGGCTCGACAACTTGACCACGAGCTTCACACGTGGTTGTAGACTAAAGGTTAAAGAATCTTCGTTAAACGATCAGATTCTCTGTGTTACAAAATGGCGACAGACCTGCTTCTGTCTCCTCGCAAAGAATAATTCACCCCATTCGGAATCGACGCGAGTTGCCCTATTCAAAGAACTGGAAACGACAAAAGACACCCTGGTACGTTCGTTTCTCCCCGTCAATTTCAGCCCCATCCCGCTACAAATGCTACCCTAATAACTGCGCCGCCATCTTTCCTTCGACTTTGCTCGCAGACAATTAAGCCATGGCGTTTCACGACCTTCCACAGTTTCAGTAAGTTCTGATTCTCATAGAGAAACAGACGAAGGACAAGTCGATCCACTTTATTCCGAGTCGCGATTAATTTACATTTAGAGTATTTTTCGCGGTCTGCCGCTATCGCCGCTTTGAATTCAAATTACCCGCCGCGAAATTAATTACGAGATGGCGGTGGAAGGGAAAAAATACCGTCGAGCACGGTGACACGTTTTATTTATCTCCATGGGGTACGGGGTGTATCGTGGATGCGAATTGGGGGAGTTAAACGTGTTTTCAAGGAATAGGGAAATTTGAGGTTTCGTGGTTTCAGTGAGTATATATTCAAGATTGCAAGCATAATTAGGAGAAAGCTTTTATCATTTTTTTTATATTAATATTTCGAATATTGTTATGTAATTTATTTATGATATTTGGAAAAATTGAGGAAAATTGGGGTACGTCGTTTTCTAGGAATAAATATTTAGGATTGCAAAAATAATTAAAAAAATGCTTTTATCATTTTTTTATATTTCCATAAATATTATTATATTAATATTTCGAATATTGTTATGTAATGTTTGGTGATGTTTGGAAAAATCATCATTGAGGAAAATTGGGGATAGTCATCTGCTTGCAATAAATACTTAGGATTGCAAAAATAATTTAAAAAATGCTTTTATCATTTTTTTATATTAATATTTCGAATATTGTTATGTAATATTCGGTGATATTTGGAAAAATCATCATTGAGGCAAATTGGGGTACGTCGTTTTCTAAGAATAAATATTTAGGATTGCAAAAATATTAAAAGAATGCTTTTATCATTTTTATAACGTAAATATTTCAAATATTGTTATGCAATATTTAGTAATATTTGGAAAATTTAGAGTTAATCATTTTCTTGAGCGAATATTTGGAATTGGAGAAATAATTTCTTTTGTGTAAATATCTCTATATACGAGGGTGTAATAAATTGAAAATGTGTAATATTCAGTGGTATTTGAAGAATTAATCGTTGAGGAAAATTGGAAACACTGGTTTGCTTGAATAAATATTAGGGATTTGAGAAATAACTATATTTTCGTGTAAATATTTCGAGATATGAAAGAATAATAATTAGAAAAAATCGCAAATGGAGATTCTCCTTAAACATATAGAAAGAATTGAAGAAATAATTCAGGGAATAATTATTTAATATTTTCATTGTATATAAATATTCCGAATATTTTTACACGATATTCTGTAACATTTAAAAGAATAATCGTGGCAGAAAATTGGAGTAGTAGTCTTCCTGAGATATATATTAACCTGGCAAGTATGATATATGATTCTCCCACGTGGTCGACGCTACTTTACTTAATAAATGTATTATTTTGCATGCATAATACACATATTCCCAATATACCTAATTTACAAAATTATTTCAAAATAGTCTCATATAGTATTATATAATAATACAAATTTATCATACTTCATAACATAAATTTTCGAATATTTTTCTAGACATCTATGAGTACCATAGACCAAGCATATTCCTAGTTCAAAATGTAAGAATCGAGGAAATAATTGCCGGTAATATTTAAAGAATAATCGTCCACTTTATTCAACCTGCAGTAAAATTGTACAAAGAATGCTGGAAGCTTTCCTGAAATACGATCCAAGAGGAATAGAATTAATTTTGAAAATGTGCTCTTACATCAGGACGTTTCGGGGCATTACTCCGGGATAATGTCCCGGAGTACCACGGTGTATCGTAATATAACTCGTAATAACAGATACCCAGAGCTACTCTCATAATTACAAACATCAGAATTTCCTTTATAAATTTCCTTTATAAATTTATAACCCACTCCAAAGCAAGAGAAAGAACAAAGATTACAAATTACAAATTTCTTAAAAGACTTATATCTTCGTTACAAATTATAGTAATTTTCCTTATCACCAATAACTCAAAAAGTAAATGTGATCCAAATCTCAAAAGAAAAAAGAGAGAAATAAAACAGGAACATAAGATATTAATCAAAAGAAGGAGAAAAATATAACCTAACCTAACCGCGTATTTCAAAATTCGTGAAATGCATTAAATGCACAATATAGTAATTTTGCAATTTTCCAATATAACCTAACACTCAAAAAAAAAAAGAAAAAAAATACATTAATCAAAGGAATCAGAGGACGTATAAATAAGCCACACGTGTTTCGAAATACGTGAAATGCAATAATACGAAATATAACAATTTTCGTGGGCATAAATAATGCAATGGTCAAATATAACCTAAAATTCAAAAAAAAAAAGAAAAAATAATACATTAATTGAACGAAGGAAAAAATGTCTTATTAACCATTTACACTGCCAATAAACTCACAGACACGTGTGCCAGAACGGTCCAGTGTTTCTGTGACACTTGTATATGCACCACGTATATACCACGTTATTAGCGATTCTGCGATGAAAGCATTACAACGTGTGTAGCACGTCTTTCCAGCGCAAGTGGTTAATATACACGTATTTGAAATCACGCGCACTGCATGAAATCTGTTTCAATATTTCGAAATTCAAAGGGATACGTTCTTTGATATAAAATCGGAAATAAGTTCCCCGAGAGTACAAACACTTCGTTGCGTCGGTTTGATTGGGAAAACGAACGGGATTGTGGAGATTTAACGGGTTCGGGAAAAAATTTGCGCGATTAGATCACTGTAGTCACGGAGTTGTGAACATAGCCACGCTTGATATCGAACGAAATAAAAATTTCCTCTTCCGCTGCCGTCGACCCCCCCTGGAAATTCTCGGAATAAATTAGAGAAGCAACGTTACAAGGAAACGTGAGTCGTTTTGCGAATTTTTCGCCGGCATAATTGTGGCATAAATGGTAATATTTTTCGGATATACTTTCTTATCGCGAAACGCAACGAGATGGAAATGTACGAGCGACTTACAGAGATTTTTAATTCTTATTAAATTCTACCACGCACGCTGCCTAATGATAATCCTTTCGTTTTTGCTCTTTCACGTTGCAAAATTGCAACGTAATTATTTCCCTTTATACACGATGCGTACGTGCGTGCATTGTACTGCTTTGAAGTGCATCGTTCTGAAGTCTCGATCATTTGCAGAATGATTAATTTCCATTTAGTCGAGTCGTGTTACCGAATTATACCGCGCGGAAAATTATCGAATCATTACAGCGTGCAATCCTGGGAAATGTTTGTCGAAAATGGTAAATTAAGGTAAAAGCGATTCTTTAAAAAATTTTTAACTGTTTTTCGTCGAATATTC